CCGTGAAATAATGAGAAAAACTTAGAGGGGGGGGGGCAGAAGGGTTAGAAAGAAATGTAAAAGCTGGACTAAATTTCAAAAAGAGTGATATAACTGCAATTAATGTATTATGATGAAGGGACTGATAGTACATGAGTGTAGGGGATTAAAAGTCTACTTGTAAAAAGAGATAAGAACAATACAATTAAACATACTAAAAGATAGGGGGGAAATGTGCATTAAAGTACAGATTTACTGGGAAAAAAAAAAAAAAAAAAAAAAAAAAAAAAAAAAAAAAAAAAAAAAAAAAAAAAATTAAAACAATAACAAAGTAAACGTAAAATGATCCCTGAATTATAAGTGAGCTACAAAGTAATGCAGAGGAAACAAACAAAAGAACTACATGACTATGTAGGCATTTTTGTAACCAACAACAGACCCATTTAGCTAGGTAAGACATCATAATTAAAAAACTGGTTTGGAATTTCCATAACTTTAATTTCAATATAATGCCTTCAAGGAACATTAGGAAATTGTTACACACATAAAAAAAGGAAATAAATAAATAAAACAAAATAAATAAACATGAATGATCAATAATATAAAATTGAAAGTATCTTGGAAAAAAAAAAAATAAATAAATAAAACACTAAAATCCGAAATATAGTAAAACGAGTTAAGTTTCATTGGTGATTTGAAAAAAGAAATTAAATTTTCGAAGATTTGAAACACTGTAACACAGAAGTGCCTTTCCTACTCCTAGCAATTCAGTTTGATGAGTATTTATAAAACACTACGTCGATAGGTAGTTGTGAATAAGAGCAAAGAAAGTAGGAATGAGAGATACTTCTGTTTGCTTTTCAAAGCATGATACATATTGGTTGATGAAAATCAATTAGTTAGTGTAATAAAAAAGTTTCTCTCATTTTATTAAAATTACTAATTATAACATGCTGAAAAATACTTGCAGGACGCTTGTAACTTAAGATCAAGTCATGTGCAGTTACTGAATATGCAAGCTCATAAGATGCAATACATTTAAAACGTTATTGAATTTCCTTAAAACTAAGGTCTGAGGTGAATGTGGTGGATAAAAAATCATGGTAGTAAGTAAAATCAAAATACTGATTCCCTTAATTCTAAACCATCAAGTCCCTGGGGGAGGGATTTCCTCCTTATTTGATCGGGAACAGCAAAATCTACTCGAGGAAATTTAGTTGCACCTCCCGGATAATAAGTAGAGATATGCCACATTATTATTTGCTAATGTTGGATCAATTGGAAGTATTATGTAAACTTAAAAGTTTTAATAAAATCATTTGTTCACTGGCTGTTCTTCTCACCTTGAATTTTAAAGAATTTTAATTATTTCTCATCAACATTTTTTCACATGATCAGCAATATTATTGGTGACAATAGCTGGCGTTGGATATGATTTCTTCAAAATGCTAATGTTTATGCTCCGGGCCTTTCATATTGATGAGTTGGAGCTTCATGTTTTTCTTCAAGGGTCAAGTGAAGTATATTGTTTCATTTTTAATGGATTGTTGGATTAGTGATATTCTAGCAGTTATATTTCCTCTTCAGAAAGAAAAAGTACACTGAATGGTTTGTAGTACTCAGCTGTAAAAGCAGTAATTAAGGTCTAGCATACATGCAAGTATAAGCAAGACACACACAAATGCTAAATAAAGTCTCGCACAAAGAGTCCTGTTCATTGGCATTTTGCTAAAGCTAGACTTAAAAAACAGTAAAGACAGCTTTTAATGTGAGAAATTAGCTTAATTGATGGTGTGTAAGATTATGGATTTCATTCATAAAAGAAAGAAAAAAAAACTTTCATCGCAAGTTCTTTAGGAGGAAGTTAGTCTTTGAGAAACAAAAATAACAAGAATAACGACTAAGTACGAGAGAACAGAAGAAGATTATGAACAAATTAATCTAAAAGGATAGCATCATTGACATCATTGATGAAAAGTGATCAAATATTGAAGTGCTAACCAAATGGTACTGTTACTTAAGTAAGACTGAATACTACAACGAAATTCAGGGGTAAAATGGAAAAGATGTGATTACACTCAAAACATAACTACTTCGGTTGGTGCACAAAAAGTTAAGATAAGGCAAATCCATGTAAATGTCACATGGATTCAATGAATAAGGGATTTCATTTTGTACCATTCTCATTATACATGGATGAAAATGAGTTCCCTGTTACTACAACAGTTGTCTGAGGTGCAAATTTTTCAAAGAGAACACGATACACCAAGGTAAAAGTAAGAAGAAATATGTGGTAGAAAAATTGTGGATAGTAGCAAGAAAAAACCATTACATGAACCAATTAAATAAGGCTCATGGAAAAACAGACTACTAATTGGTAGGAAAAAAAAGATGGTTCAGGACACATCATCTCTGGAAAGGTAGAGGTGTTCACCAAGGAGCTCATTCCTTATAAAAGCAAAGGAAATTGATGAATATGATCATGTAAATAGAAATGCGATTCAGTTAAAAAAAATCATTTGATAAGTGACACTGGCCACAGATAACAAGAAATTGGCACGTATCAGTACAGAGAAACTACTTCTAGGTGTTCTACTTCAATAGTGCAGCACACATGCCTTGGCTAATTCTGGATTTGTGATGAGAAATGACAAAACAGCAGAAGGCCATGATAAGGGAAGAACATTGGGAAGTGAAAACGCCAGGGCTGTGCAAGTACTCAAATTTCGAGTCGAGACAAATCGAGCCTAGTATTGAGTACTCGACTCCGCTCAAATATTAAGTTAGGTTCGGGCGAGTATACAAACTCAGCTTGAGTGCCAATACACGAGTTTTTTGGAGTATTTTAAGCTGGAAACCCTGAAAGAATCCAACTTCTAGATATTTTATTTATTCTATTATTATTTTTAGTGTTGCCATCATTTTTTGTTGTAAAATCACATGTTAAAACTCAAAATTATTTGAACTCGATTTGAGTCATTTTCTACGAAAAAGCTAGAATTCAGTGAAGAAACACTTGAAATCGGCTCAAACCCAAAAAACCAGGCTCACACAGCCCTAGAAAAACCATATATAAAAAAAATTATGGACAAAGTTTCAATGAATGCAACGGGTGGCTTTTTATTGAAATGATACAAACATGCTATTTGAAACATGCTCAAAGAATCAATGTTATTAATTAAGGGACCTCTCTCCAATGTATCCATAGGTAGCTATTCCCTCACAGACCACTTGACGTGTAACCGCTTCCTAATAATCAAAAGTTCGATGATGCCTCAGACTAAATGGTAATGCTCAAATACTTGGTACTGGCACCTTCAACTAAGACTTTCATATGTTATTTTTGCTTGTTTCATTGTGGTCGAACAAACGGTCGCTTTAATATCTTTAGAACAGAGAAATAGTGCGCGTTTCTTTCCTGGCTAATATGCAACAAATATCCTTGACCAATGAATAAAGAGGTATGAATGGCTCTTTCACTTATTTAGAAATTCCGAAATTAGTATCCAATGGACTCTCAGAAAACGTACCTACTTTTAAAAAAAGAGAAGTTTCACTTTGGTTAAGGGCTAGGTTTTTCCATAAAACTATAAAATGTGATTATTATGGGGTTCTTCACGAAGAATAATGATAACTAAAATAAACAATTGCACATATTTGAAAAGTTTCACACTTCTAATGCCGAATGAAAGAGGAATTTTGCAGCATGAGCAAAAGCTGAACACTGAAGCATCTTCTTTATTATGTTTCAAAAATGCCAGACTGCACAGTAAACTCTTACAGAGGAAATAAAAACTAGTGATAAAGAAATAACGGATTTCTTACTATATAAGAAAAATAAAAGGGTTGAGAATGTTCTCATCCACTAGAGTCAGATTGTTCAAAGCTTCAAAGGACGGCTTGTTTTGTTCTTCTAAGTAAAGGATTACCCAAATAAATTTCATTATGATGAGAGTGCGTTACACGAATACCTATTTATAACCTACATATGTACCAATAAAAGTTGGAAATGATTGAGGCACCAAACGTTGGTAGGTGTAGCATTGGGCCGAAAATAGTTTTTCTTGTCACCAGAAACGCCAACTAATTTTTCTTAGTTACCTATTACATGATACAAATCTTCACAAATGCACCCAAGATGGCAGGATATCTCTAGTGTCCTTGCCAAACTGAGTGAAAGTGATAAAGTTACGGTGTGCAACTATTCATGCTCCCATGCGGCAAGCCACCCATGTTTTCAGGTAAGTTTTGTGAGTTAGAAGGCTCCGATAGGAGCTTGATTCGATTCATATCAAAGTTTTGGACCAATTTTAGTACTTTCGAAACACTTAAGTACTACTATGGACGACGGTAGAAAACCGTATCGACTACGTTCCTATCATACCTGGGGCAATTCTCCTCTGAAATTCCGGGGACGGCTTGAAATTTGGAAGAATTGCTTTAAAATATTTTTGAGGTGATGCTTAGTAAGTATGAAGAGTTAAATGAGAGATTTGAATTAGTAATGATGTGCTATTAGATGCAACAAAGATCTAAATGGAATATTCAGCCACATCAAAAATTGGTGAAAGTCTTATCTGGCAAACTAGATCGATGTTCGGCCCAATTCTAGTTAAGGAGAGAATAAGGTTGGAAAAAAGCTATAGAGGGGCTTAAAGAAATAAATTAATTACTTAATTTATTCAGTGATTCTAAAATGAATAAAGAAGGTAAAATACTGACTACCCGAGGAGTTAATACCAAGGAAACATGAATGATGAAGTTTTCAGAGACTTGACAAAGTTAAAACTTCTTGATCAAAACAATATAAAATTCAGCAAATCATTCATTTATCCAACAGGTTTGCTGACTACTAAAGATTAAGTGCTGTGGACGGAGGTGTCACATTAACGAAATTTTCAAAGTACAATTAGATTATAATGAAAAAAAAAGCATGACTCTTAAATTTTTATTCAGGAGTGATGCGAAATGCATATGATAAATATGCTTGAAAATTAGTAAAAGGACTAAAAATTGAATTGACCACATTTCATAAGATTTTACTTAGTCAAACATGCTTTAATCTTGCTGCTGCTTCATTCGTCTTTGTTTTATCATTTCATAATGCATATGTAAAACCGTGAACACAATTCAGCAACCTTTGTGCAAAAAAAGAGAGAGGAGAGTTTATCGGACAAGATTAAAAAATGATATTGAACACCAGTTACAATTAAAATAGGTATGAGAAATTCAATAGAACAGAAAAAGTCTCTGTTCTCGTGTTTATTATGAGAAGAAACTTTGATCTGGGTGAATACAGAAGTCATGTATGCAGATTGATACATTTTCTTCACTATCTGCTTTCAACTTTCTAAAATTTCTTTTCATCAACTTGATAATGTGATTGTGAAAAGAGAAGAAGCCTATTCCATTACATTGTACAGGTAGGTAATAATATAACATCATAAAACCATAGAAAGCAAAAGCGTGAAAAATACATATTTTAAGAAAATCAATGCACTAGCTCCGGAAACATCAAGACAGAGATAAAGAGATAAAAATCTTAGTGCTTAATAGACAGTTTTTTTTCCAAACTCAGTTAAAAGGAGTCTCTAACAAATGTTAATAAATGATAAGGTAATTACAATCAAGGTCTGCAGGATGAATAAAAAAGGCTCTCCAATCCACAAGGTCTGAAAGGTAAAGTATTTGAGAGTGTGACAGTACAAATTAAAGATATATTTAACCCCCCCGCCCCCCAATAAATATTGACTCTAATCTGATTGTAGAATGACATAAAATTGTCATCTGACCTTAACTCTGTTCAGCCCATTTTTAAGTATGAAAATCTGTAAATCATTTGATAATTTTAACAGGATTATGAGTTTTTCAAAATAAATTTTGAAACGTCCACATAGATTCTCTTAAAATAAAAAATCACACTTGGACAATTTAGAATGATGATGATTTGTGTTTTAAAGGGAAGAAAATAAATCGGACATAGGAACGGGAAAGATATGAAGTTCATTGACAGATGATAGCAAGATAAAAAATAAAATACTAAGTACTTTAACAAATTTAACGTAAGAAAGAGAAATAGAAGAAAACCCGATGCTAGAAAACACAAAAATAGACTTAATATTACAAGAGAGGAAATAAAAATCTTAAAAGATTGTAGAGATTGTTTGTTTTTATGGAGAGAAAAAGTTATGAATGAAGGTAAGGGGAAAAAATTGATAGGTATACTTTTCCACACTTTTGCTTATCTACATTAAGACTATTAAAATGAACCACACATACTTAAGGATGTATACACGAGAGAGAATACTGAATGCATTTCAAATTTAATAAAGATCAAATTGGCAATTCAACTAAGCGCAAAATAGACAAGGAAAACCAAGACTTCCATCAGTTTTGTGTCTTGATAGTTGCTTGAATTTTTAAGTTCAGTGCGCATATGGTTAATTATACATTATGAGAACTTTAATAACAAACAATATTTATACAGACAAAACAGAACAAAAAAGGCGAGAAAGCTAAGAAAATGGGAGAAAATCAGATCTTGTACATGACCAAGCATTTTCTTTAAGGCACAAGAACAAATTAGCAAGCTACCACACTAGACTGCGATTTAATTTTTTTAAGTGAATAAGAGTACCAAAAATTTTATCCAAAATATTGTTGCTTATGCCAAAACCTGAAAAAAGAAAAAAAGAGGATAGAGCAAATCATGAAAAGGTAATGAAATATACACCACTTGCATAAAATTCGAAAAAGAAAACAACCTCAAAACAAGGAAACTTTCGACAACAAACATAATTGGGCATATTTGACCAGAATCACCCAACCTGCATCAAGCATTTCTCATTTTCTTTCAAGTTTCATTCTTTTCACAGGAATCTAAGCATGACACATAAGTTAAAAAGATTGGAAAATATCGCTGAGAGGTTGATAAAATTGGGTTCTTTGACCTTCCCAGGGGCTCTTTAGAGACACATTCCTCGGCTATGAAATTTTTACATCCTCTCAATCTACTATTGAAAGAATTTTTTTAAATACTTGCTAAGTCACTGAAATTAGTAAAAGTCACTGAAAAGTGGATGGACAATTGGATGTATTTCTGCCAAACAGAATTATGTGCAATACGACGTGAACCCTGTTATTCATGTATTCTTATGGGTCTCAGGGCTCATGTCTTAACGCACATAGTTCCGTTTGGCAGAAATACGTCCAATTGTAGTTTTGACCTTACAATTGACTTCTTGGGGTGAAAAAAAACACCTACCGACAAAATATTTGTTATACTTCCTTAATAACCTATAAACAGGGTTATACAGTGAATTCTCACTTCTTGGTCCATTTGTGACTTTTTTAACATATTAAACATGTTCTACATGAAATTTTGATGAAAAAGCATGTCTTGTGGTACTTTAATTCTTACTCCGCATGGTTGTGAATTCTACATTCCTCCTTGGTCCCTGCTCCTTTGTATAAAAATTAGGAGGAAATAGACAGTAGTACTAGTTATATACTTTCATGTTAAATTTAGTAGAAAAATGACAGAGATATTTTGTTACCTTCTTCATGATGGGCAAAATGATGCTGATTATGATAACGTTTCATAGTATAGAGATAGGTTCCTTCCTTCGGAGACCCATAATGCAAATAGAAATGCATCAAGTCATACATAGTGTAACCTGAAACAAAAATTTTCAATAAAAGTGAGAGCTATTTCAAGACTATTTAGAATATAGAATAGAATATTTAAAAAATTGCGTTTTTTTTAAAAATTTTGCTATTTAAAAAATTTGGAATTTCGGATAAAGTCATTCTAACTTTAAGGTTGATCTTGGATTTACAAACTTCATGCCAGCTGTTTAAATGAAAAAACCAGTGGCGCTTCATAAAATGATTTTCTCCCCATTTCTTCCTCATTTTTAGAAATTCTCTCTCACTTTTCAATCAACTAAAACCGTGGAAGTCACTCTAAAATAGTGCTTAAATTCTCCCACAAGTTTCCAATTCCCTAGGTGGAAAAAGAAAACTAACGATAAAGTTACCGAGCAGGATACGTTTCCAGCGAAGGTTCCTTCAGGCTCTTCAAAACAAATTGTTGACCCCCCTCCCACTCCTCCTCCCGCTTGTGACGCATTTGTGACGTATGATCTTACCTTTAAACTCATAAAAACAAAATGACGTAACATTTGCCTTGACTACCTCACCCCCTAGAGGGTTACGTATTTTATGAATGGCCTAAATGTTATAAAGTAATAATGAGACAGTGAGCAATTTTCTTCAAAGTGAAAATTGTTTGAAAACTTTGTTCGGCCGGCCGAACGTTCGGCAATGATGATGCTGTTCTTCCAAAAATTTCTCCAAACCTGACATGGGACACAACAAAAGCACAAGCATATTTGAGGTCAGTTTTGCATTTTTGCTTCGAAGAATTGTGTTTGTGCCGATCGGCGCCCTAAAGAGGGCCCATTTTTTTCAATTCATCAATCCAAGTAGCTGAAAATTTTGCAAACTATTGCCTAATTTTTAAAATAGGTACTTGACTCTGACTGATTGCAGTTTCTGCCGCATACCGATTATGGTCAAGAACCATTGAAGGAAGATTTTCAATCGATTCCCTGAATCCACCCCAAATTTCCTGAATGTTCTTTGATATACCCAGGTTTCTTAAATTCTCTTAGTTGTCCTGGTGCATGTAAACCTTGCTCTGAAGTAAAGAATAATGTATGTAAGCATGATAAGGGAGGGCTTCACAATTACCGAAACCAAACAAAAACAGATTAAGACTCATTACCTGTGATTGTACCAGCCATGACTAGAGGAGCACTCCAATAGGAAAATAACTGAGAATAAATGAAGTAGGCGATAGAGAGTAAGATTGCAGCGGGAACAGGAGGCAGTAGCAGGCGCCGATCATCAAACGGTACCTATTAGCAAAAAATACAAGACAAGAACCATGAGAAAGACCATTTTTTAACTTGAAATATGACACTTGGTGTACCTAAAGAAAAAACGAAATTCCAGATCGGACTGTTCGAGGAGTGTCATGTATTACCCATCAATCCCTCCAGAAATATTTGGAGAATCGATTTCTGAAATCTTCAAAGCATAAATGGACCGCGTTTAGCAGAAAGGAACCAAGCCACATCAGCTATTGCCAAATTTAACTAGGCAATTTAATTTTTTACGAGAGAACGTTTAAGCGTATTTTTTGAAAATTTCAAGGCATTTGCATCGTAGTATGCAGCTAATTCACTGAAAATTGCAAAAAACTCCGCACAAATATATTCGTGTAAAAAATTATACTGCCTAATTAAATTTGGCAATAGCTGATGTCGCTTCGTTCCTTTCTGCTTAACACGGTCCAAATTTTCCTTTGTTTTTGACACATTTTCGATGAAAAATGAACCCTGTGTTATTTTCCATAAGGGCTCCAGCAAGCGGGCATCAGGCAGATTCACCAATCAGAGATGACTCGTGAAAGTATGGGGCACCACTTGGCCCGCACTTCAAACAGCTCCTCTTGCTATCTCTTTGCTGTCCGCTCTTGATTGCTTGGATTTAGATTAGCTTTTTTCCCCCTTAGAGATGATTGTATGAACTTATTGGTTTTCAACAAAATTTACACGGAAAAACCAATACTACAACCCCATGAAAATGTATTGCCATTGATGCATTAGATTTGACATTTAGCTGATACTTAGTAAAAAATTGAAGCTTTTCAGACGTGACACAACTAATCTTGTCACTGGGATGAGTGACATCAGTTTTTACTGCCTTATCTCAAGACCTTCATCGTATGCGGCAACCTCACCTCGTCCTGATAAGATAATCTTACAACAGCAAATTTGTCATCATAACTCATTGGAAAGTAGATTTTTTCCACTTTACTTCCTATTTGAACCAAAAAAGTTAAATTAAGTCTGCTGCATCATCAATTGATTGAGAATAGGTAAATGTTTTCTTAAGACATCTCCAAGATTTGCACTCTCACATATTCTAGCTGCATTCGACCAATAAGAGTAAAAACTTTTTTCATATAAAGGAGGGGTATGCCCTGGCATTTCCCTGATTTCCGTAACACATATTGGTGAAATTCCCTAACAATTGAAGATTTGACGGATGGTTAAGAAGGCATAATTGAAAACAGTTTTCAGGCAAAATTTCTTGTTCAAAAATCTCAAACTCATTCTAGAAAGAAAATGACGGTGATTTAACAAATTTTCCCAGACATTTTCGTCAGTTTCGTTATTTTCCCGGTCATTTCCCGGTTTTCCCTGACTTTTTAAAATTCCCTGACATTTACCGGTTTTCCCTGAATGTGGCAACCCTATATCGTGCGACAAATTTTCGCCAGATACTTTCAAATTTTAATTAAATTGATGCCAAACAAAAACAGCGCAAAAACTGGAAAAAGTAACATTCTTAAGAGGTCTACAAATTCAGTAGAGGAACTTACTTTATGGTGTAATCCATGAAGACTAAAATGAACGGTGATGAGAAAAGGAGAGCTGTCTGGTGGTTTCAGATGAAAGATCCATCTATGGACACTGTATTCGATCATGGGCCAGAGCACCAACCCGAGCAAATACATCAAAGACACCCATAGATATACTGAACCTGAAAAGGCAAAAAATAGTTGAGAAAGTTGGAAGAAGAAAAAATGGAATATTCTCGCTTAACTAATTTTCAACTTAAAAACTGGAACGGTGAAACGAGGGAGGATCAAAAAAGGACCATTTTTGCCCCAATATCAGAGGATAACTACTTGAGGGCAAACTGTTTGATTTCCGATAAAATTGGTCCTTGTAGTACCGTGCTACAGGAGAAAAGAGTAAGTGCATTCTGACTACATTTTGCAATGAGGGATTACTATTTCTGGCTCTTTTTGGAAACGAAATTTGTATCATCAGCCAGGGCCGGGTTTACCTACTTGCCGCCCATGGGCCGCCTATATTTTGCCGCCTCCTTCTCATTCGTATTGAAACATCAATAAAAACCATCAAGTGAACGTGCCAGCGAGGGAGGGGTGCATAAGACGCGTTTAATCGTGTTGAACACATGTTTTGGGAATGCCCTGTCAACACTATTAGCAAAAGTTAAGTTTCGTAAACCTATCTCTGTGTGGACAAGGCCTTTCATTCATAAGAAATGACAAAAAAAAAATTATGAAAGAACAAACATGAATGTGGTTTAATGATTTTAACTTCCGCCGCCGCGCTGCGCCGACCGCACCGTGTTTAGCGCAATGCGTGAAGTATTCACGCAGTCTTGTAGGCGCTATGCGTTTCACGCTGACCGCACTGTGTTTGGCGCAATGCGTGAAGTATTCATGCGTTCTTGTAGGCGCTATCCGTTTCACGCTGCCCACAATAACCGCACTGTGTTTGATGCAATGCGTGAAGTATGCGTGCAGTATTGTAGGCGCTAATATGTGTTACATGCCGATCGCCGCGCCGAGGGCTTCTCCTTTTCATCTCAAGTCCTCGTCATCATTTCTCTCTCAGTCGCGCCGTTCCAAGCCAAATTGCGCGTTTGGTCTCTCTCTTAACTCGACTAATTAAAGGTGCTGTCTCTTGTATCACTGAAAGAGGACAAAATTAGAAATTACCTTATCCTCAGGAAATAAGAGATTTTGTCGCCTTTTCTTGTTTGTAATTTTTTTTTCTAAATCCGATTTTTTTTATACCTACATTTAAAAAATTGCAAAATTTGCCGCCCCCTAGATTTGCCGCCATGGGCCGCGGCCCATGTGGCCACCCCCTTAATCCGGCCCTGTCATCAGCTTCCATACGTAGATACGTGCTTTAATGGATGAATTAGAAATAGTACTTAGGTAGTTATTGCAGAATTCAATCCATATCAGCGCAATCTTAGGTTCCTAGCGCATAAGAGCACGTGCTAAATCGCAGCTCACAGAAACGCTCTTACTGTTCTCTTCCTGCTTAAAGATCCGTCCTGGAGCGCACGGTATCTGCTCAATTTTTGCTTTCGGGAGTGTTTAAAAAATCAACGTAGCTAGAGGTGGAGAATTGGCTCGAACCCACCAAAACCACCAATTGGTTAAAGTTAACCTCGTCATCGTGTTCGACGTCATGACCAAACAACTTGTTTGGTATGGTCATGTCAATAGGATGACGGAAGAGAGGCTGCCAAAAAAGATGCTTGATTGGGTTCCTCCTGGGAGGAGACGTAGGGGACGCCCAGTGAGAGGTTGGCGACAGGGGGTGTTAAATGAGATAAGAGATTGTCAACTCCCTGATGACCTGTGGGAAGACCGAGCTTTGTGGCGATTAGGCGTCGCACAGCGCCAAAGAGCGCTATAAAAGCGACTCATATATATATATAACCTCGTCATAGAAAATGTGGAAAAATCGGTGTGTTGTGCACCGGTAAAAAAATCGATGGCTCCCGCCTTGCGGCTAAACTGCCGTGCCAAGGAAAATCATCGTATAAGCCTTCAGACGTTGCCATATTTCCTTCGATAAAAACGATTTTACTCGGAAAATTTTGAATATTTTATCTCCAAATTTTTCGACTATTCTGTTATCAATTTATATAAAATTTCCGGAAATTTAAAGGAAAAATATGCATAATTCTCACGTCAACGAAGGGAAACTGCATGAATGAGTACTATTTACGTCTGCGGAAAGTCGCCGTTTTGAAGAGATCGAATGGTAGCGGATACATACGTTTTTCGGAATTTAAAGAGTTTTTTGTTACACTTATTAACCGTTGAACTGGAGAATTCAAGTGATAATGCTTAAAATTTATGTTTTTTTTTTCCCAATTTCATATTTGTAGGTTGACTTCGAAGCAGGCTTCAATAAGTACGAAGATTGACCGACCCAGGGAAGAGAAATGTAAACACTGGTTCTTACGGAGCTTTCGCTTCTGTTGACGTAGTCTACTTATTCAATGCAGCGGTGTAGAATGAATGAGATACGGCATGAATGGCGTGACGTCACTATGACGTAACTAAGGAAACCATGAAATCCCTCTAAACACTACTTTGTTCCCCGCGTCGGACGAAGAGCGCGGGACGGAAGAGTACCCCAACTCCCGATCAGTGAATCTACGACGGATTCGGTGCGTTTGTGATTGATTGCTAAAAATAGGGAAACTAAATGACTAAAAATAAAGCGGATCGATTCATTAAGCATAACCGCTGTTGCGACGTCACATTTGCCGAAAACTTCATACATGATATGCTCGCCGAACTCCTTGTTTGAACAGCTTTTTTGCGGCAAGGGGCGTGCTCGCCAAAAGCATGGTGTCTAGAATTTTAGACCAGGCTCATTCCCTGATTTTTCACTGATTTTTAGAAGCTCATTCCCTGATGAGAAGCCATAGTTTTCTCCTACTTCCCCGGGATTTTCTGGGGGAAAAGAATGCAACTCTCCGAAGTTCCATAAATGAATATCGATTTTAATTCATCTTTCAGCGATTTCTTTGGCGCACATTCAAAATTGTAATTCCGATAGCGATCCTGGTGTTTACACTGTCTTTTTATGATTTGAAGCTTCAAATGTGTCATTCAAGAAGTCAATAATAGCGCTTGGTCAGATTAGATCGCCAAGTTTGAATAAGAAATGATCCCTAAGTGGTAGAAGAAGAGATTCCTGGTTTCTGGAACAGATTCCCTGATTTTCCCTGTAAATTTTCATTCCCTGATGAATCCCGGTTTTTCACCGTTCTTGACTCCATGGAAAAGTGAAGTTTCGAGAAAACAGAAAAAGCTTGATTTCTTCGACACTAATACTTCTTCTACTCTTATTTCTATTCGAAAAAGTCAACCAATGTGCTACATCTACGTATCATCTGTGATGCCATCTCCTAGTGGAAGGCGATCCCTCATGATAGGAACCATGAAATAAGGCAGAAACTATGATTTTTTAATACTGCCATAGAACACACACGCTGTCAGAATGAAATGATATTTCTACAAAAATGCAATATCGAGCGATTGTGTGTAAGAAAGACGTATCCGCCAACATTTTAAAACATTTTATTTCTGGGTCCATCACTTCAGCTCTCCTTAAGACCAAGGTCTTAATACAGAAGGTGTGTAAATCATTTGCTGATTTTGTCAAACAAAAATATGAAGAATTCTCGAAAGAATGAAGTTTTTTTTTGTGTTTTCTCGAAACGTAACTCGAAGCAGTTAAGCCCTCCTTCAAATAATCCGCTCAATTGATACAATACCACAACGTAATTTTATTTTTACTTTCTTTTGATTGGAGTTAATCACTCTGCTTCTTTTGGAATTAAAGGATATTCGTAACCATCCACGGTAAGAAAAAAAAAATTACACACAGGAGGATTCAAAGTGCGCCGCCGAGCCGATTTGGAAATATTCGAGGTTATAGACTGCGCACTGTGGATCGAGTCAATGGAAGAGGTCGGACACAATTTGGAGACTTTAAAAGCTTATAACTTCGTTCCTACAAAACTTTGAGGTTTCAAAAATGGTCCATTGGTTTCCTCGTAAAATTTTCTTTTAGAAACACCCTTTAAAATTTAAAATGTGACGAATTACTTAAAAATCAAAATTTGCACTATTAGAAAAAAATTTAAATGTCCGAGCTCTCTCATTGACCCGTCCTAGTGTGCGGCGGGCGTGAATGATCGATTGTCGATATTTCCCCATTTGAAGCTATGGCAAAGAATCGATTATTAAGGTGTTCGTCGCGAACACCCTGATTATCGATTCTTTTCCTAGGTTTAAATGGAGGATCAATCGATGTATCGCAAAGCTCGTCACGCCACTGGGTCCAGTGTGCGGTGGGAACCGGGGCAGCGAGAAGGAGAAACAATCTGGTCCTCTTTCGCTGGAAAGAAAAAGAGACCGAAAAAAAGAGAGAAAAAAGTTGTCAAACGAGGAATAAATATTTCGACATTCATCCTCTTCGCGTCTCAACAAAAAACGAAACATCCTCACCTCAGGGCGACTAGGAAAAATCGAACGCTTATTTACGTGAAATTGGTGTGAACCAAATAAAATGCGAACTCCACGGAATCGGATTAGCGCTGGCTTCACGATCAAACTTTCATCGCAACAAAAACGCATGTTGATTGACTGGCGCACTGAAGAAAAAGTGTGGTAACATCTACAATAAGTCTACTTGATTTTTTACACAAAGATACGAGTACTATTTAGTGGCAATGACCAGACTTATTGCAGTATTCACTAGAACTCTGGCGATACTTGCCGGAGTATGGTAAAATGCTACCATTGAGTCTGGTGTTTAACACCAGACTCGGATCATTGTGTAAGAGTATGATAAAATCTGCCATATTTTCTTTCAGTGCGGGTTGTTTGAAGAAGAGCGTAACCACCAAACGCCACTAGTCGAGGAAACAGGAAAAAAATTAAATTTAACAGCGATTTTTCATATTTCTGTTGGAGAAGATTAACAAACGTTCCACATACTACTAACGGAAATGCCGCTTTCCGGAGAAAACCCGAGAATAACTCATCTTTTCGACAATTTTGCTACCCTTCCTCCTTGTAACGCTTTGTATAACTCAACCCCGGACCGCCCTTAATAATTCCGAGACGCTTGACTGTCCCTCCCCAAAGATCTCAAAAATTGTTGAAAGTCGCTGAATAAAATTTGAAGTGTATTTACTAGGAGTGTGACAAGTAAAGTCGAAGAAATGAGGGTGATACATATGTGCTTTTTACTAAAAGAGAGGGTTACGCAACGGGGACACAGACTCCCATCCTCCCTTGTAACGCAGCGTAACGCTGGCTCATACTGCCGTGCTAGGGAAGAACACCGTATGAGCCTTCAGCCGTTGCCACATTTTCTGTGATAAAACATGAATATTCAGGGAAATCAGAGAGTATTTTTCCTCCGATTTTTCAGAGAATTTCATTCACCATCAGATCTAAATTTTCTTAAAATTTCAAGAGGAAATATTCATAACCCTCCTCAAAATTTAACATTTTACCTGGGGAAATTGAGCAACTCTCGAATGCTCATACGGCGTTTTTTCTTAGCACGACAGCATTTAAGTCCCTTTACACTGAGAGTAAAGACAATGCAAATCCATTTCTGATTGGTTCTCGTATTTTAGGCCTTCACAGTAACACAAACGGGGATAAAGATTATAGTTTCACCAATTGCAAAGATTATAAACTGAAATGGACCGGGGGACTGGGGGTAAGGCAAGGAACAAAACGAATGAGAGAGGGGACGGAGATGGGAATTGGTTGATCAAAGATTACAAAAGACGTCCGATTTGTGCGATCTTTATCTCCGTTTGTGACATTCATGAGCCGCGTTGTCTCAACTCTTTCTATGAAAGAACTCTAGACAGCATAGCCCTTTCCGGCAGAGCGTTATGTAATTTATGAAGGCTCCCCAAGGAGGGTGGGTCTAAGGCGGATCCCTCATGCTGGGTCGGTGGGTTGGGGGTGGTGGCACCACGTGTTACCATACATGTTGCTTCGGCTCCGATACCTTATCAATCAAGGCGACGCCGACAGCCGATTGGCGAATTGCACGTGTTGAACTGTGACAAGGAAATAAATTATTCAAAGGTAATTGGCCCGATCATAGCTTCTAATAAAAGCGGAATACGAGGAAATAAAATAGAGCGCCGGGAACTCGCGAATATCGGGAGCGGCGCGGCCAACCCTCTTGTGATTCATCGGAATCTCGCATTATCGATTGGAATCAATTTTTAAAGCTCTTTCGCGATATCCTCCTTTGAATAGCGTCATTTGAAAGAGAGCGGAAGCGGTCGGGCTTCCCAGGCGGACAAATGACTATCTTCCCCTTTTGCCTTTTAGTCATAGGTACTTTTAATATCACCAACTTACACTGGGGGAATTGTCGTCAGCTTAGGTGTCTTAAAATAGGGAGAACTTAATTTCGCGTCCGCTAGCTGCTGCACTGGAAAAGAAACACATTGGATCTAGAGTCCAGACTCGTAAAAACATCGACAAGAAAAAGTACTCTTGATTCAATCAGAATCTAGCTTAAATCAAGAACCAAGCCTCTCAATTTAAGCGGATTTCGTTTTGATTCAAGCAAAAATCCGATTGAATCAAGAGTATTCTTTGATATCAATGTTTTCAAGAGTCTGGACTCTAGATCCNTTTTTTTTTTTTTTTTTTTTTTTTTTCCAGTGTGGATAAAAACAAGACGAGACGCAATGCAGCTGAAGTGGTCAGTGGCGAGTGCCTGGACAGTTAAAACGCCTTCTTTTCCGTGCGTATGCAACACGGACATCCCCGGCGCCCGAATAGTTGCATCAAGGAGTTAAAATGAAATTTGTATTGTGTTAATCGCATTTGACATGGACCAAGAGCGCTTTGCTTAGTTATTTTTTTCCCCCTCACATTTTTCGTCTTTATCATTTTTGGAGACATGTTTGGTCCAAAGCGCCAAGTTTAAAAGAGCTTGTTCTATTTAAAGAGATACCTTTTCAACCGTTGCTTTAAACATGCGTGCAGTAAACTTGTGATCTTATCACCCAACTGTCAGATCGTGATTCACACGGGATAAGCGATCAAGTTTGCATTGGGGTTTTGTGTACTGTTCTCGACGTCTCAGCCCTTAGTTTTTGCTGCTTAGTTTTTGCTTGGTCGTTTACTAGCGTTGAATTCCTCGCGAAATTGATGTATTTAATTGGAAATTACGTGATGACCTTGGCTGCGGATCTTTTTTTTTGTCCAAACCGCGAAGTCACAAAGGACGGATGGACGTACGTATATTTAGACTCTCAGGAGTGGATTTCTGTTCATGATTTATGTTGGATATACAAGCAGAAATAATAGTTTTGCGAAAAAAAATCGATAAGCTCTGTACTATGGAATGAAGGCTTTAGAAAAAATTAACAGTTACAGGCACGAAAACAGACTAATTGTTAGATCATACTTCATTTTTAGGACTCGAGGCATGCGATCGCTTGTTGCTGTTTTTTTGTTTGTCTATAAAATCCAACTAGAAAGACAATCGCTTGTTGCTGTTTTTTTTTTTTTTTTGTCTATAAAATCCCAACTAGTAAGAGGGACCCAACGCTATATAGAAACATCAAGTTCATCTCAACTTTGCATTTTCGGCGCTGACTCTTACAGGACCATACTTAAGACATAGGTTTTTTTTTCTTAACTTCCTTCTCTCGCTAAATGACATTCCTTAAAAATCAATTTTTGGGCGAGCCAAAAACGGTAACAAGAGCTCAACATTTTGAAAGCACTAGATCTACATCTCAACTCAAGGACTACTTATATTTTGGCTGTATGGTTACGGAATTTACTTGTTATTTATCGAATTCATTTATGTTTCATCATTTATTTATTTTTTAAACTGTCATTCATCATTTTTCATCGTATTTTCTTTGATGCTTCCTGTTCTGTTTATGATTTTTCTTTAAATTAAAGGAAAACGATTCTAGGTACTATGCGATTACTTAGTATTTGCAAAAAAATGTTCTTTGGAGAGAGAAGAAAAATTGGAAAAACGAAAGTTTCAGTAACACTACCAACATAAATAGTCTTAGCGGGGACATTTCAAACTCCATGGACTGGGACTTGATTTTCTCAGTTTAGATATCGATAAAAAATACAGGGTGTCTATTGCTACCCTGTCTTTCAAATTCTTTGCTTTTTCAGTACCTTTCCCTTACTTTTCCGAAAATCCTTGCTTTTTCTTATTTTACACGCAATTTTACATGTATTCGGACTTGGAAAAGTGGAATGATGAAATGACAAAGAAATAAACCGCAAAACACTAGAAATCGAACCCGGACCTTGCTAAATGGTTTTGTTAGGAAATCACATACCTCCACTCCAAGGCTACGTTCTGGGGTTTGTCACAAAAATATCGAATTTCCGTACCTTTTCACCGAAAATTCGTACTTTTTCCGTACTTCTGTACCGACTTTCCAAAATCCGTGCTTCATCAGTGTATCTGTTCTTTTTCCGTGCATTAGACATCCCGAAATATTTCACATTTGTTTCCTGTTCGTTTAGAATTTTCCAGATTTCAATTAATTGTACGGAGAAGCCAACGACGCACATTGGATCGAGTCAATCAGAGAGGTGGGACATGAAATTTTTGACTAAAACTGCAAACTTTGATCTTAATTTCGTCGCATTTTAAATTTGAAGGGGTGTTTCTAGAAGGAAATTTCACAAGGAAACCAATGGAGCCATTTTTAGAACCCCAAATTTGTGTATAAACGGAGTTGTAGGCGTTTAAAATTTCCAGATTTCGTCCGACCTCTCCTATTGACTCGATTCACTGTGTGGCATCTTGCTGGCGTGGTGATAAATTCAAAATGAAAGCTTTACTCACTTGGGTCAAATGAGGTGAATGATGCGACGGTGAGGAAGCGAATATATCCAAGGTAGACGAGACCTATGGAGACAGGAACCCAGACTATAGGAATAAGGTACCATGGTGTGACAGTGAGTTGCTCCATGAATTCGGAGCCGAAGAGCCTCAACTTCCTATCGACTGGTGCCAGAACCCATTCTTTGTACTTGGGCCCCAGCTTCCCGACTTGACCGAGCATGGGCTTATCCCAGTCCACCAGGCTCTGTAACAAACGGACACAACTCTTTAACGCAGGCCAGATCTCGCACTTAAATTAAGGACGAGAAGAAAAAATGAAGCCCAGCGAAATTGAAAATAATAAATCAAATAAGTAGCACCAGGGTGTCTGCTAAAACAGGCTGACCAAAAATCAGTACTTTTTCAGTACATTACCGAAAAATTGAGTACTCCTTCAACAGAAAAATTGAGTACTTTATCAGTACCTCCAATTAGCGAAATTCAGCAAATTTCAAAAAATTTGAATTTTTCGCTTAAGTTGCAACAAAAATGACCAAAAAAATGATTCGACAGAAAAAATCATCTCTAAATTGCGTAAGGGTCATCTCACGTACGTGCGGCATTTTAAAATAATCGGAAATTCTAAGGTATAAATGATTGTGTAAGGAGTGGCAACATTTCATGCAAACAAGAATCTGGAATTTTCACGTGAAATATTTCATGAAATTTCAGAAATTTATGAAACATTGAAAAATACCGGTTTCTTTTCATGTTTCGCAAAATCAGGGTATCTAGTTCATTTTTATTTTAGGAAATCCTGATTTTTTACAGCTAAATCCTAATTTCATAATTTTTTCAAATCCTGATTTTTTGCGGAGAAAAATAAGGCGAATATAACTTCACAAAAATAGCTCGATAAAGAAATCCGATCGGACGGCCGAATTTTCTCAAATCCTGATATTACGACCGATTTTTCCTCAAATCTTGATAAAATCGGGATTAAATCCTGATTGACCTCAAATCCTGAGAGAATCGGGAAAATCCTGGTGCAGATACCCTGAAAATGTAAAAATTGCGCATCTCTGTTTTTGTGTGTTTGAGTGCGGGTTGCATCCTCTAGCCCCTGAAATATATGAAATATTTCATGAGCCTCGTGAACTTTCATGAAATATTTCACTGAAATTTCCAATCTTTTATTTCTTTCTTACGTTTCATGCCGCCCTGATTTTGTACTCATACACTTTTTACAAATTCGAGAGGGGGGTGGAGGGGGGAGTGGATTTAAGAAAAGAACCGTCTTTAAATTACGTAAGGGTTATACGTTCAACAGGGTGAGTCTGAGTTGAGGTATTCATCTTCGTTAGACCGCGGCCGTACCCGTGTCCCGAGGGTAGGTAGGGGTAGGGGTCGCGGGCGACGGGAGGCGAGGGGGTGTTTGAGGGTCGTTCTCCTTACGTAATAATCTCGCGCTGTCTTACTCGAGTTCGAATCACATTTTTCCTTCTTTTGTTTTTCTCTCGTCTTGCGCGGTCAAACGAGCTTTTTCATCGGCTCTTCAAAAGGAAGAAGTCCATCTTTTTTCAAACCGAGGTATGAGAACCTTGACTGTTGCTTCTCGTTTGACTTTCCGCGCAGTGGCGTGGCGTGTTTTGCGATGTATCGATCGATCTTCCGTTTAAACTAATGGAAAAGGATCGATGAATAGGTGTTGGTAACGAACACGTTAATAATCGATTCTTTACCATTGTTACAAATGGGGAAATATCGATAATAACAATCGATCATTCACGCTTCGCCACTGTTTCCGCGACGATGCGTCGTCTCCCGGACGAAGGAACGGAACTACATTTCAATGATGCCAAATTCCTCGCAAATTGCATTTTTACCTGGAAAACATTTGATATTTTAAATTGAAACTTTCACCGATTAATTTCGTGCAATATTTTCTAACAAATTTTGGACAAAAATTGCAAACGAACATTTTTGTAGAAAATTGAAATTTTTTAGTCAATTTTGCAACCTTGGAGTGGAGTTACGTTCTTTCGTCGAAACGAATAATTGGCGGAGGGAAGAGAACGGTTGTGAGGCCAAGGATTACCGTTCTTACTTTAATTTTAGATCTGTAGAAATGACTTTATCGAGTCTTTATTGCGGCGAATCAAGAAACTATTGATGAGTAAGATGTTGCATCTGGTTATTGAGAAAATTGAAAAGGAAGAGTTCGTGAGAGCTGCCTCACTAATAGGCGCTAATGGGAGTTGATGTCATTGAGCCGACACAGATGATATGAAAATCACTCTATTTGATCGATATTCGACAATTATCCACTGCAGAACAGATAAGGATTACAAAGCAAGAACTTGGCGTGATTTTAATGGAAAATATGGATTTGATCGACATATAATGATACAAAAGCGGGGACCGATCGACAGTGATTCGATCGTCAATTATTATTAACAAGAAAATCGGTGTCGATTCGATCGACATGAATTCATTTGAAATCAAAAACGTAAACCAACAGACGGCAACTTGATCGACCCCGATTTGAAGGATTCACGGATTTGTCGATGGATTCACGTTTGTGTTTGAATCGCCTCCATCGGTTGACGTTTCTGTTTTTCGATCGATTCATGTCGATCGAATCTATGCCCTCCGAATTAAACGAGGTTCCTCATAAAGTGAGCCGATGCTACACTGAAAAAAAAGATTGGTAGAATTTACCATTCCTTCACGCTGTATTTCACACAGCGTAAATCAGAGTCAATTCTACCAGAAAAAAGGTTAACGTTACTATCCTGGTACAGGTAACCATTCCTCTGGCAGAATCGACTTTGAATTCACGCTGTGTAAAATACAGCGTGGAGGAATGGTAAATTCTACCCATCTTTTTTCAGTATAAGTACGTGCGATTAGAGCGCGAGGGTATCAGAATTGCCAGAATCAAAAAATGACGAACTGACTGGGAGAGAAAATTAATTTTGAAGCGACGGAACATTGAATAGTCGCAATAAGATCCTAATCCGCGGGAGCTATTACTCCAGAGCGATAAAAAGTGACCGCAGTAAAAATGCAGATGAGTTCATAAAGATTCTTAAAATCCCAACAGCATAAAAAACGACGGGTAATTCCTCAGTACAGAGTCTCTCAAAACTCAATATACAAAATGACTGCTCAAAGATAATCTGCAGCTCCCATGCATCACTCCCTACTCAGCGCCATCATTTTCGTTCGCATGTGAGTGCACGCGTATATACTTACAAAACATTCAATATTTGAATTAACTTAATTGCAACATTGACATAATTGAGCATCTCGTGACCTCACGAAAATAATATGAGGCATGTTTTTAAAGTTGACAGGCCGAAATAGTGACCGAAGATGGAACAGATTGTATTCGATAGTAGCTCGCTGTATCGTTTGGTTCAAACCAATAGAACATAACCTCAAACGAAAATTGAAGGATGTAAGTTGGAAAAGCTGAAAATGAGAAAATTCCTAACAATCTCACTTTACATAGCCATTTTGAACTCATAGGATTCAAAAATCCATCACAAAAAACCCGTTTCCTCAGATTACTCAATTGACTTTTGAGGCTCGGTTTACATGTTCAACCAATCGATATCGATACAATCTCACCTGTTTGATGCATCGAATACGATCTGTACAACGCACCTGGCACAATGCGCATTAAATCTGGGAGGACCCCCCCCCCCCCCTAATAGTAAGAAATAAATTTTCGAGTATCTTGTAAACCCGATAAATGCGATATCATCACGCGCATCTCTGGGGTGAAGTATTGGAAAAAAGGAGGACACGACCAACTCGAACGGAATTCGGAGAGGACACCACTTAATATTGTTAGACAGGAGGTTCACTCCCCACTTTTTGTCAACTACTTATCTAATAATTGATACGAGTAATGATCGAACCGAATCACGAAGCGACGCACACTGAACCGAGTCAATTAGAGAGGTCGGACATAAAGTTTTGACCGAAACTGCAAATTTTGGTGTTTATTTCGTCACATTTTAAATTTCCAGGGGTGCTCTGAGAAGAAAATTTCACGAGGAAACCGATGGGACCACTTTCAGGACCTCAAAGTTTAGTGTAAACGGAGTTATAGGAGTTGAATGTTTCCAAATTGTGTCCTACCTCTCCAATTGACTCGATCCACTGTGCGACGCGACAGGGCGCGTGTAACTCATGTTTGCTGTCCCCGCTGTTGCTACTTCGAGCACGAGCTAGCTTCAAAATCAGAAACGCTCGACTCACAATCAGCCACATACTACCTCCGGTATAGAGAGGCTCAACATTTCCCAAGGGGTGGGACCCGCCGAAAACAGGGTTGAAGAAATTTTCTGATAAAAGGCAGGTCGGTGGAAAGTTAAAAATAGGCCCTTTGAAAATTGCTTGACGAGGCCCAAAAAATCTGCCAGACGGAGCCTGTGCGGCGCCTTCTTGGCCGAAAGGGCGGCGCACAGAGGATCTAGTCAATCGGAGAGGTTGAATATGAAATTTTTGACCAACACTGCAAATTTCGATGTTTAATTCGTCACATTTAAATTTTGAATGAAGCTTCTAGAAGAAAATTTCACGCGGAAACCAATGGAACCACTTTAGGAACCTCAAAGTTTTGTAGAAACGGAGTTGTAAGCGTTTCAAGTTTCTAGATTTTGTCCGGCCTCTCCTATTGACTCGATCAACTGTGCGGCGTTTTTTATTTAATGGCAGAACCTGACTTCACAGCAAAATATGCCACTTCCTCCACTTCTTTAAAGATAGTATGAAAATGAAAAAGGAAGAGAAAAAAAGAGAAAGAAAGAAAAAAAGAGGAAAAAACCCCGCTTTTGAAAATCACCTTACGGCTCGCGAATCACTTCATCTTTGCCAGGGCAAATCGCTACATCTGGAAATTCGTGCACCCCGAGCTTCGGCGATTCGAAAAAATCCTACGAAAAGGTCCGTTTTCTTCGATGAAAGTTTTCCAACTCAACCTCTTTGTTTTTTCAGCAAAGCGGAGCGTCGAAAGGCCGCGCGCAACCCTGTTTCGTCCGTCCAATTCAGTTTTGTATACCATGTCCGTTCATCATTGCTTAAGTTACGTAACGGGGCCAGATTCCGGCGTGAAGAAAAAAAAGGAAACTGAAATTGAGCAACCTTCCGCACAGCATTGTGGGTCTTGGGCCGCGCTTAGACCGCAACTTAAGTCTCCGATACAAAAAAAAACCGTCATGTGGAATCGCCGAAGTCTCGATGTGCGCGATC